AGTTGGACAGAGATCACAGTTGGACTTCGGTGATATGAGACTGTGGTACTTACCTGATTGGAGACGTGGAGATTGTTGAGGTTGATACTCGGCTGCATCACAGTTGGACACCGGTTACATTTGGACTCTGTATCTCCGACATGGATGACCTATGGGCCTCGACATTTTGATCTTGTTGTATGACATTTGGGACTACCATATCGGAGACCTATCAGACTCTATCTATCGCTGTTGTCTACCTCCCCACCTCCTTCGTCTCTCCTCCCACCTTTCATCTGTGAATGTGTGTACGGGATCTGGGCATCGTCTATGAATGGCCCAGACCCCACCATCTCACGATTGTATGTGTGTGGAGTGATGCTATGTGAGTCAGTCTATGTGAGTCAGTCTATGTGAGTCAGTCTATGTGAGTCAGTCCGTTATCAGACTTCCGCTGCATATATGCTCATCCTACATTGGTTGATCTTTGGTTCTGCCCATACTCATTGAAGTATGCAACACACTCTCTCTCTCTCACACACACACACACACAAAACCTCCTGATCACTCGGAAACAATCTGCCACAGTCATGTTTTTTTTTAGTGTATAGCGAATATGACGACAGAAGAAAAAAAATTGATAAAAAAAAACGGCAGTAACAACGACAGCCCCGCCCCCCTCTTCGTCCCTCTCCTCTGCCACAGCGTGGTTGCGGCGGGTCCACTTGTTTTTTTTTAAGAAAAGAAACTTGTAAGACATGCACAACTCTATTTAGGACTTTCCACTAAATTTATGTTAAAAGTCCTGACTCACCTTTGGTCCGATGAAATTAAGGCCATGGTCATTGCATATGTCAACAAATGTGGCATTCTCCGATAGAAAGCCATAGCCAGGATGAACCATTGTGCAGCCATGGCTTATCGCAGCAGCAACAATGTTTGGAATGTTCAAGTACCTGCAAGTGAGATCCAAACCGGCATCGAGAGAAAGCCAAACGGAAAAAGGGTCAATGGAAACTTTCTTAGATGGATAGAATGTAGGGGTCAGACTATGACGACATCAACCTCCAGGAATGGACAGAACAAAGGGGCTCCCGGAACGAACAGGACACAGTGGCTCCGGGAACAGACAGAACATAGGGGCTCCCGACAGACAGAACATAGGGGATCCTGGAATGGACAAATAGGGGCTTCCGGAACGGACAGAACATTGGGCCAGATTATGTCACTCCGGACATATGGCAGGACACTATATCCAGATAGATCTTGACAAGCAACAGGAGGGTTGGCCTCTCAGGGTGCAGAATATACTTCCCTGTTGACCTTACAGACACTGGAAGTCTCCTACTTTCCAATCCTGGTCAGAGGATGAAAAGAAAAAGCAGAAGGCAGACTGGAATGAAACGAAACAAAAAAAAAAAAAAACAGGGTACAAGAGAGATTACTTCCAACACGATAGAATAGGGAAGCCCCACTTCAAGCATTGATGTATGATATCCTTCCTGGGTATTCTACCTGGCTGTAATTTTCAAATTCATCATGATTGCCCATGTCAGGTATATCTGGACCTACATGACCACACAATCGCAATGGGTACATTCAAAACTTTTGCTGCTGCTGCTGCTCCTCTCTCTCTCTCTCTCTCTCTCTCTCTCTCTCTCTCTCTCTCTCTCTCTCTCTCTCTCTCTCTC